CCTAACACTGAGAATAGGAAGATTAGTTGAGGATGTGTTACGACGGGAGAAAGAAATTGCTTTACTGAATGAGAAGCTGACCAATCTAACAAGAGTTCAGACTGAGATCAAAGGTATGAAAGATGAAATAGCCAAGATCTCAGACATTAATTGATCACTAGAAAAGACACTGCCTACAGAATAGCAATGTTTGAGGAGTGTTACTCCATCATGAGTAGTGCTAAGAAGAAAGACAACATTTAAAGGCTTTGTTTAGAAGCACACTGGAACTTTGAAACTTGTCTTCTTTAAGAAAGAAAAAAAAAAAAAAAACATACTGAATTTGAGGGAAAACAAGCTGTAATATGAGCAAAAAATGTGTATTTCCAAAGGGTGACAGGTGCTATATTTAATAAATTGCTTATTTTGTACAATAAAACAATATTGAAGCATAAAATGTTGATCTTCAGCTTTCCCTTTCCTGCACCAATAAGGAATAAAACTGTGGCCTCTAGATAAACAAAAGCTAATCAAACTGCATTAGCAATTTACTGCTTGTCTCAATATATTAACCTTTTTTTCCTGTAAAATACTATAGCAATTGGCAAGATTAGCAAAGAGAAGCTACTGAGATGTCAAAGCGTAAGACCGATATGAGCCCCTGACAGTATTTCTGTGGTGAAGAACAAGAGCTTATGGTATCTGAGACTTTTTAAAGTGTAGTAAGAGAGAGACTAAAGTAACGTGACACGGAGAGACTGTTTAGCAGAGAAAAGAGATGAAAGTGCACTAAGTAGGAATAGAAATTGCTATTTAAAAAAATTAAGAAAGATGTAGCAATTGAGAAAAAATCCCTAAGAGTGAAGTTATGTCAAGAGATATAACCTAATAGGGTGGTCTTTAGAACTCATCAATTGTTCAGATGGTCATATCTGAAAACACTGCAGCTGGTTGGCTCTTCACTTGATGGAAGATATAATATCATTCTTTTCCCTCACTCTTCCCATCATCATTCAGCATTCCATGATTTTTGCACTTCCTTATGTTTCCAATCTTCTGTACCTTGCTTGCTGTATTGCCTTTAGTAAACCTTGAATGTTTTTCTTTTTCTTTTTTTTTTCCTGGTATGGATCCATTCCTAGCTCCAAGTTTCTTTTACTCCCTTCCAGTCCATCTGAAAACCACAAGAATAAAACTTGCTGGAAGATGAGTCTTCCTAGAAAGCATCCACATGTGCCAACCAAGGAAACTTTGTTCTTTCACACAACTTTGAGGAGCAAACTCCTGAAAATAACAAGAAGGTGTTGAAGGAGACAGAAAAATAAAAAAAAACATCCAGAATGATCAGCATTGTTAAAGTTCAGGTTTTGCATTGTACCTGAAAAATACAGAATCACAAAATAACAGAATATCCTGAGTTGGAGGGGTCCACAAGGATCATCAGGTCCAAATTCTGGCCCCAGACAGGACTACCCAAAACTAAAACTGTATGTCTGAGAGCACTCTTCAACAACAGAGAAGAGTTCAGCACCCATCCCTCCACACCTCTCATGAGGAACTGTAGGCCACCATTAGGCCCTCCCTCAGCCTCCTGTTCTCTGGGCTGAACAAACCAAGTGACTTCAGCCGCTCCTCATACATCTTCCCCTCTAGACCCTTCACCACATCCACAGTCCTCCTCAGTTTGGTCTAAGGACAGAGGCAAAACTCATTCTGTATTGGAAAAGATGAGGCACAGTGAGGCAATTTTCATAAATTTCGATCAATCTACTAACCTTGCTTTTTGCTTTAGTGCTCTCAGCAGGGGAGAGTGTATCAGACCAGGAAAGACACAATTCTTATTTAGTTCATTTCTATGGATGGTAAACAATACCCTCTACAATTTCATCATGTGATGGAGAGATTCAGGTAGCAATGAAAATTACAGCTTTGCTACTTGCAAAGAATCGTTCTCTACAGTCTAACCTATAATGATATTCAGGACATCTTTGCTTTTAACTTATCACTCAAGTATGTAACTCAAGAACAGTATTCTAGCCAGCAACTTACAATGAATAAAAACATCAACAGTGTTCAGTGACAAATACTGAAACATTACAGGAGCACAGCCAACGTATTGAAGTCTGCTCTTAGACACCAGAACACCAAGTCAGCCAGAAGTCTGCTAATGATTCTTTTCCCACATCACTCAAGTTACAGAAACTTTATCCTGTAACAAGGCTACATAGCTATTGAGCTCATCTGTCCAAGAGGTACTCACATTCACTATAAAAAACAGGATTTATTGTTTTCACTTAAACTACATTTCCATGTAGAAATGTAAATGAATTACATCTATTTGTATTATAATAGCCCAGTTTAAAATGATATGTTACAAGCATTTCAGCACGTATTAGCAACATCAGCGAATTTGATCTGTAGTACAATCTAATACAAGCACAGGGTGTGAAAGTTCTTGTTCCAAATTTATATAGGCAGTACGTTTTAAACCAGAAAGCAGATCTCAGCTCCATAAATATTAAGAGAGTATGTTTTCTCCTTCATAAAAAAATATACAGAAGCAGCATATATATGATCCATGTTTTATGAAGCACTCCTGGGTTTAATGATTGTTCTGAAGTTATACGTGGTTCCAGAGGAGTGCTCCTTTCCTATACAGGACTTTCTTTGTAAAGACAACCAAGCCCATCTGAAGTACCGTGGCTCTCCCATCCATCTTCTCTACTTTGAGAAAACATACTACACATAATGCTATAAAGCACATTTATTAATGACAAAGTTTGACTTTCAAATACATTTTAATACCATCACTTTCCCACTGAAGCAGTTAAAATTTCAGTGGATAATCTTTTGTGCAATAGCATTTTCTACATTAAAGCATCTCAAGCATCCAAACAAGCCTATGGCTAAAAATCAACACTTAGCAGATGCAGCTGCCAGAGTGAGCAGCTCCCTCTCAAGTTTTCCATTGCAACAGAATAGTGGAAGTAGAACTAGGTCTATTTTGCCTTTCTCAGTTACAAAAGAAAAGGAGATCTAACTGTTCTTAGTAGTCTTATCTTAGACTAACCTTGATAAAGGTCATCTTTAAAAGGACAGCTTCAGGTTCACCTTAGAGCAAAAATAACATTCTCTTATTACTGCACGTGCTTACAGCTGCATAAAGGTAACCCAGGTCTTTCTAGAGAAAAACTGCACGATTTTGCTCCACCCATGAAACAAGAGGAAAGTCTTGTGAAATGTAGCTTAACATTGGCTTACTTGACAGATTACCCTGCTATGTAAGGCAAGTTCTGTCTTACTCTTCTGCCTTGAAAGTTCATAGAAGTGGTTCACTTTCCCAGGATTAGAAAGAAGTTGCTGTGTTTTTTAATAAGTCCAGTGGGTTAATACATGCCTTTAAACAAACTATGCTATTCAGTGCACAAGAGATGCTGTTTTTTGGTTTTTTTTACCAGTTAAGATGAACCACATACAAAAGGCAATTTCTAAAATTACTTAGCATCAGTGGTTTTGATGTAAGATCAAGTTTGTAGTTAATGCTCTCCTCCAAACAAACTCTTAGAAGCACATTTTGTTAAATAGCTTCAAAGCTTCCTACTAGCAACAGGGGCAACAAGATGTATGTACTTTTACCACTGAAATTCAACCCAAGGTACTTCACACAAGTGTTTTATTTAGACTTAGAGTATTTGGCTTTGCACTATAGTGCTGTTAGCCACCAACCACTGTAAGAATGTATGTTTAGTGTCATTGGAAAAGGGAAATTGTTCTAGATTTTACTCCGCATTTAGAAAGGTAGCAAATCGAAATAAAGCTTAGCTTACTTGTTTAGCATAAACATCCCAAAATCTTGGAAAGTCAGAGGGCTTTTTTCCAAGCAGGAGGGATCTCAGTGCTATGTAAAATGGTAGCAGGAATATGAGACCTCAATAGGATGATATGGTCAATCTATGTATGCTACTCCAACGGAGGAGACTGTTCATCACCAGCTTGAATGCTGAAAGGCAACATATGGAAGTTCTGCAAAAAGGACACACGCTCCAGCTCCACTAAGTGAACCAAGTAATGCTGGAGATGATGAACCCTTAATGCATTGTTAGGCATTTTCTGAATTTTACTCAGAGTGGTTCAACTCTTGCCTCTTGAACAGCTGAAACTCAAAAGGCAGCATGTTCATCTTTTACATTAAATACTGGAAACAAATAAAATTCATTGCCTTAATAAAACATCTTCAGGATTCTCTCCTTGCATGCCTACAAGCTTAGATTTCTTCAAATCATTAAGGTTCAAAAACAAGCATCGAGAAAGGTATGGTTCAACCAAAACTCAGTATTAACATAATTGAGTGAAAAAAAAGGCAGGGGGGCACAGGAGTATAAATCAAACTACAGAAATACCAAAGTTAAGAAAAAGTTGGCATGTTCAATCCCTACAAGAGAGACAAGCCATTTTTAATTATCTTTTAGTGGTTGGGTATCTCTGAGAAATTTTATTACATCAGCTTTGCTCTTGTTAAAGTAGCTGCTGCAATTTAATTCCACAGTACAGCTAAAACAACATCTTTGGTGCGGTTCAAAGCCAAGAGAAGCAGAAATTAGTCAAGTAAGCATAACTTGCATTGTAGTGATCACCCCACTGCAGAGAGTTCTAAGTAGTGTAAGATTCTCCCTCAACCCTATGGAGAATGCAGATGCTATAAATGGGATGTCCTATCAGACTGCATTTTTATCTCAATCACTGCAGTTGATCTGTTTTACAGAAACAGCTTATATAAGCAGGTGAAACAGGACTGGAAAAAAGCATACAACTGCAGTTAGTTTCTGCAATATTGCAATGCTGCATGGGGTTCCTTGGCCCTCCTCCAGGAACAATGAAAGCCTATTTTGTTGCTGTTGTTTCACAATTCTAATTCTTGAAGTGTAGAAAGGCCTATTTTTTATTTTTCATCTTGGGAAGTATCTGAGGCATTTGCTGCTGTGAAATGAAGCTTATATATGCAGTAGTAAACAGACACTAAGCACTCTGTTTCTCATTTATTTCAGGCAATGACAGTGGTAGAATTTAAACCCTCACGTGGGATGAGGGTACAGCCAATAATAACACCATATAGAGTTTGTTTTCCACATAGTCAAATATATAAAAGTTTCATGAAACTCATCACTGGACAGCCAGCGAAGTCAGTCCATGAGGTGTCTACTGAGTTAAACCAAGCTTCTTCTTCAGAGATTCTGGCATTTCAGGTGGAGGTGGACGAGGAAGTCTGAAATAAACCTTCACAGAATCGTAGATGAACCACTGTAGCGCAGTCAGGGTACCAATCATGATGATACGAGCAAACAGACCTTTCCAGACACCTGCAGAACAAAAACACAAGCCATGAGCAGAAGAAACCAGGAAAGAAGAAATCCCCTCCAGAACACAAAAGACCACAGACAATAAATCCAAAATGCATGAAGGTATGTGTTTACCTCTGAATCCAAGCCTCTTAAGAACCTGTGAAGCAGAACTGCCTTTTTCCTTGTTCAACACAGATACCACGGAGTCAGCAGGATGAGAAACGATTGCACAGAACACACCAGCTGAAAGAATAATTTGACGTTACTTCTGTAGTGTTTTAACTGCATCACTACTGGGCATACTAAATATAGCCAACTTAATTAACACCTTCCCTAGATCACTAATAAACTGCACAGGAGATACATCAAGTCTCCTAATATTGAAGAAGTCTGTTCTTATTAAGGTTATATGACTATTAGAGAACACCTCGACCAGCTAAATACCCCTACCCCTTCTGTCAAAAGAAAACTCATTCTGAATCTTTGGAAATGCACAATCACCCTTCCACTCAGATTTCTCTACCATTCTTTTAACGCTCCTGTTTCTTCTGTAGCCTTGCAAAGATGCAAGTTTTCTTGTTTGAACCAGCTGTTGTTTCTAAACTAAGACATTGACATAGCAGACACAGGAATAATTAGGAGTACTATCCTACTACAGGCTCACACATTCCAATCAGAGATTGAATCCAGGCTTTTCACCTGCGCTTGCTGAAATTACACGCAGATTCCCTCACTCTGGTTACATTTATTTGATATAGAGAAAAAACCATGACTTTCAAGTGCAGGATTTAAAGTTTTCTTACCAATATAGCCTGCAACAAATGTGACTACCAGCTGCTCTCCTTTTGAACATTCACTCCGTGGCTTGGGAACAACATACTTGTAGAGAGCTTCAACAGTACGTTCAAAGCAGGCAAATTTCATCATTGTGTATGGAATCTGTCTCATCCATAGTGGAGCAACACCTTTATAGAAACTTAACAAGAGAAACTGTTTGATTATCTGTAGTATTTCAATAGTATTTCTAATCTGAAAAAAAAATCATAATCTTACTGCTGCTAACAGCAAAACAATTCCTAACAGATTGACACTGTAAGGTCAAACTGTCACAATACCTATGGAACAGGAACATATTTCTTTTATTCATTTCTGTGTACTACCTGCAAACAGCAAAACAGAAATTTAACTGATCCCTACTCTGCACAGATGTTTTTCTTGTCACACTTCAGATCACAATGCACTGCAATAATGAAATACGGCTACTACAAGTGCAGCAAGGTTCAATGTCTGCATACCAGCCAAGTCCTGATAGCGGTAAATGACTCGTGTATTTACAGTCACTTTTATCAGAACAGAAAGCTCACATGCAGTTATATTTCTCTCACATGCCAATGACTCAAGCATCTTTGACTGTACAACCGAAAAAGTTGCTGAGCAACTTTGACTGGAACTGCTAGAAACTGAAGTTATCCAGCAGAACTCAGCACAAAGATACTCACAAAGATGGATCTAAGGAGCATGTGGAACTAACAGTCAGCTCAGCACAGCTTCCCTGATGTTAACTGCATTACGTTGTTATCCTGAACTATAAAGACCAACAAGTATTGTAAGCTAAAGCCACTACTAATTTTAGCAGCAGTTCTTCATTAGGAAAAATATTTTTAAAAATGAGAATTCAAGTCAAAATAATAAAAATAAGGAAACACTAAAAACTTACGCCCAAATGCCTTCTTCTCCAAACATCTTAGGTACAGCTTGCCGCAGAGTGTTAGCGTATCCAGGCTGTGTCTGAATGCGAACTTTAGCAGCTTCCATTGGAGCCAGAGCAATGTCAGCAAAAAACTCTGCACTGGCAGATGCAGCCAAATATAATGAAGTACGCCACAAATAGGCATTTTCCTGAAGTGAATTAAAAACATTTTCATTAATGAACTGTACTTTTCCTGATTCATCTCTGCTAGTAGTACTATCACATTGCTGATGCACAGCTTCACATAAAGCACTTAACGCTTACCTCTCCCAGCATGTTGCCATAAAGGATTTTGAAAACTTCATAGAAACCAAATTTACAAAGCCCCTGCATGGAGTATCCAATAAAAGTTGGAGCCCATCCCTTAGCCAAGCCACGAAATCCATCTTCTTTGATTGTCACTGAAAATCCATTGAAGATGCTCTTGTATTTTTGTGGATCAACCTAAACAGAACAGACAGTTAACTGCTTGACACAGCTTACCGTTTCTCTTCTCACATCTCTGTTTGAAATAGAAAATTCTTGAGTTACTCACACAGCTGGATTCCCCTGGACAACATCACCACAAGGTTACACTAATGTAACTGCAATGGTTACTTGCTAGTCTCAAACCCTAACTTTAAATAGTCAGTATTTTCTTCAACACTCAGGAACCAAGTAGCCTCAATTTTGCTTTATATTTGTTCTCCACATGACAAGTAGGACTTTGTACATAGGAGAAACTAACTAACACTGGTAGTACTATTTTTGCATAATTTTGTTTAGATCAGATTCTTTAAAATCTTGACAGCTTTTATCAGCAATCTCATCAACTCTACATGTAACACCTACACCAAATACAAAGCCTGAAGATTCCCCTGATTCTCAAACAGAAAAGGTTATTTGTATACTATTACTTTGATCCCTCGAAACAACTAGAATAAGATAGGTATATCAAAGAGTAAAGAACTTCTGCACTTGTACTTTGATTTTGCAGTAAGGGCTACATTCAAAATATTTTCTGCACACAAAAAAACCTTCACTGATGCTGGAAAAGACCTCTGGAGGTTATCTGGTACTCTGAGTATCAGATCTTAGAATAAAGGCCAACCAGACTATTCGTTTCACATGAAAGCAAACAATTCATTGAACAGAAACTCTGAAGCATGTCATTCTGACAAATTTTAAGTCATGTCCACTTGCCTTTCATACTTGTTTTCATCCAGCATTTCCCCAGGAAGATGAAAAGGAAGATATCCTTTTAGAAGACAGTCAAAGGACATGTGTGTGAAACTGCAGTGCCTAATTCTTTAACTTGCAGCCTATCCACTGACTGAGAACTAATTTATCTAAACACGTCAATTTCAGAACATTCAATATTTAACTGGGACTAGACTATGTTCATGTCAGAGTCATGTCTAATCATCATCTACATAGGAGACTACCTCTTCTTAAAAGTACATGTGAGAGCAGGAAACAGTTTTCTTCCTGTAGAATCTAGAGAGGATTAATAACATGCTCTCTTACAGGACCTGTAAAAAGATAAATGCTGACAGGTTTTATAAGGTTACACTGGAAGCCAAATGGAATCTTCTCTAGAGAAGGGGAAGCATAACCAACTTCATCTCAAAGGATGCCCAGGACTAGAAGCCCAAGTAAAACACACCTATAAAACGAACGAAGCCTAGGAATTACAAGGCCTTGCTCCCAGTGGTATATGCAGCACTACATGACTCTCAGGCCTTCTGCCCATTAACCCAACTTGCAATCAGATTAAGAACTGTTTGAGATGCTACATCCTCTCTACTCGTGATTAATCTCCTCCTTCCCAAGAAGCTCATCTTTGCCTTAGTCAAACTACATATCTTGACTTTTGATGACACACACTGACTGTAACAACAGAAGAGTTCACTTAAGCTACACTTTCAGAAATAACACATGTATGCAACTACAGCTTTTCCCCTACTGGCAGAAATAGAGATTGAGGCTGAGCCTCAATGCAAATTTTGTAAAAGGCATCACATTGCCTGCATCTGATGCACCATGGGTCTGCCCACTGCATTACAAAATCACTAATTTGAGACCAGAATTTAAGATGTTCTCAAGGACACAAAAACCCATTTCCTTGTAAATAATGCTAAAGACCTACTAAAAGAACAGTTTTAAAGAACAGCACATGTGGTTCTCCTAGTGTGATTAGCAGTTCTGATTAATTAGTAGTTTCCTCCTCATTTCAGGACTTCTACCATTATAAAATTGCCACTTTTAGAATTGGTGTCAGTCTATACAATAATGAAGTGTTAATAGCTTCAGTGCATTTCCAAGGATTTACAAGTGTGCTTTAATTTGCTACATTCTCGAGGCACAGATTTGCCTGAATAAACCCATTACTGTTTTTACCCACAGCTGTTTACCAGATTATTTTAATGTTAGAGTTGGTATCATAAATTAAGTGCAATGAGGTTTCATTTCTTTCAGTACAGTGAGAAACCATTCCTATCACTACAAGGAAACCAAACACAAGCATTGACAATTTACAATTTAAACTTCTACCTTTTATACTGAAAATGTCATCATTAGGAACTATCCAAGCTGTAACTCATGCAGCGATATCCAAAATGTTAATGGCTCAAATTACACATGCATAACACTTCAGACTAAAAACATAATTAAGTCTTCAAAACACTAATGATACAAATTCCTTCTTCCGAAATACATGAATTGTGCAGAGCAGCCCACCAGTCAGCACAGAATAACTTTGTGGTGGATGGCGTTTTGGAAATGCAGTACGCTAAACTTCTCTTAGACATAGTTAACTTACCCAGGTTAGCCTAAATGACTCTGCTTCCCTTGAATGTGGTATTTTGTTAACCTCACAGCATTAAGCTTGACAATCAGCATTCAATTTATTTGCTGTGTGGCATCCAGAAAAGGTACTGTGAACTCTCCATATGCTGGCTACATACAGAAAAAGTTTAAGAAATGTCTGAGTTAATACGAACCTGCATACGACATTTCACTAAATCCAGAGGTACGACAGCAGTGTGTGTCAGGCCACAACTTAGGACCCCACCAACGCCACAGAGAGCATAAAACTTGAGCGAGCCATATTCACAACTGTATTCTGCAGCAAAAAATAAAGACACACCATGCTTTTACATAAACTTCATGCATCGTTGGGCAATGATGTCCAAGAGATAGTTCAAGCTTCCATTGCATTAGTAGATTAATTATCTCACACTAAACACACTTTATCAACTTCACCGCATGCAGAACAAACCTGCATTCTGCATTTAACCAGGTCTAGAGGAACCAGTGCTGTATGTGTTGTTCCACAGCTAATAATCCCACCGAAACCACAGAGCATAAAGAATCTGCCTGAGCCATATGCACAGCTGTATTCTAATTAGGAAAAAAAAATTACATTTCAACCAGATGTGGTAATGAAGATCAGAAAAGAAACAAAAAAGAGTTGTATCAAAAATAATTTCCTAGGTTTAATTTAACACCTTCTGGACTGTCAAGATTGGATTCTAGGCCATTCAACATGAGTTTCTTCTTTGAAAAAATAAGAAGTAATAAAAAAGGTTATAGCTCACAGCATATTTATGTTGAAATAATTCCATAACTACTAGTACAAATTATGACTCAAAGCCACAACGTCAAGCATCTTCTTGTATCAAGGAAACAAGCAAAAGAAGCATTTATTCTAGAGACAAAACTTCTTCTGTTTAAGCCCCTATTACCTAAAGAAATGAAATACTATAGCTTAAAAATCTCTCACACTGATAACAGAGACCACACAGATCTGTCAAAGACTGGATTTTTTTTTTCCTTTATACAATATTTTTTCAGGTATTTTTCAGATCCTTCATGTAGACGAATTTTTCTTTCAAATGCAGAAATTGAGATTTAAACAGCTTCTGTTAAATGAAATTTCAAAATTTTATTAGATTTAATAATCACATTTAATTAATAGAAAAGGTTAATCAAAGAAACTTTTTGACTATATGTCATCAATATATTTATTTAACTAGATATTTAACTAGATATTTAACTAGAACTGCTCCATGAAGTACTCTGTATGAAATCATCCTGTTTTAAATAAATTTCTTTACAAACATGACCAGAAGTTCCCAATTATCCACAACACCATCAGCTAATCACCCATTAACACTAACAGGTTTATCCAACTTTGAACTTCTCTATTGTAAAAGAGTTTCCCCAAAACATCCCAGAATTTTCATCTCATTTACCTCTTAACTTACTCTTCAAAATTAACCATTAAGACAATAAAAATGTCATTTCCTCTTTACTCTGAAATAACACATTTCAAATCAATAGACACAACATTTAGCTTAAATTTAAAGACAGGAATCACTTAACAGTCATAATAATGTATAACCTAAGAGATTTTTTTTAAACTGAGATATTACCCAAAGCTGAAAATGTTAGTCCAGGACTCGCACATACCTCTAAATAGCATGGTTAAGCTGTCTGCTTTCCAGACTGCATAAATATTCTGTTTAAAACTCATCAGAATGATTGCTTAAATACACACACATGAGGTTTTCTATGCAGATGTAATCAGAGAAGACCCCAGGTTTGAATTACTGGGCGGTTCTGTCTAACCACATCTTCAGCATGACAGTATTGTACTTCCCACTCTGCCAAGATACCTGAACTGCCCTTTCACACTCCCTTTTCCACATTAATTTACTGTTAAAAAGTTACACTCCTCAGTAAGGCAGAGCACTGTAGAGAACGCAGGTAAGTAGAGCTTTAAGCATCTCATTTATTACAATGATACTCAGACTGATTGATCAACTGGATATTCAAAAGCACAGAAAACCAAGCCACTATCAGGTTGGCTTACACTCCTTACATGTACCTATGTTTGCAGCAGCAGAGCAGTATTAGGAAAATAAAAAGACACTCATAGTAGATATCTTATTTTCTATTTCAGAAGCGTAACCACGTTTCCTTAAGAACTGTTACCTGGGAATAGAATGAGCTAAAATGGCAGTAGAGGAAATTACAGGAAAGACATCCTAACATACCTAGATGCTGACTTACGACAAACACACTAAAGCTACTCAAATATAAATACACAGCACAAAAACACGTCTACTCTGTTAAGTGAAATAATCCTAGCTTTAATATAGCTTTGTCTTTACTTTAGATCTGAACCATTAGGTTTCAGGACATATTCCAAAAGCTGTGTTATGGCTGATGCCCTGAGCTGAACTTGAAAGGTCTTGTGGGTTCTACTGATGACTTTGTGTGACCTTGCATAAGCTCGGATATCTTCTGTTACTCTCCCAACACAAAGGTCAGGAGTACCAGTTAATAAAATAGCAGGATAGACAAAGAAACACATATTTCTTCATCTGCCTACAAAATGGATAAAGATTTAACATAATACTTTTAAGCAATAAGTGCACATACAGGATATATTTAGCATGCTGAATGGTGATTTAGGGCTTTATTTAGCTAGGAGCAATGCTACTACTACTGAAAGCCAAGGTTTGTTCTTTTAAATTCAATGAAACCCAACACTCAGTTCTGTCCTTTTCAAATGCTAAACGGACATTCATATAACAGCACTAACAGACTTCAGTAATTCAGGGCTTTAGAAGAGAAATCTTGTCAAGATTTTATAGTAGGAATTTTTAATAAAAGCAGGCAGACAGTTTCCTATAGACAGCTTATTGGAATGTGAGTTTTCACATCCACTTCCTCTACAGGAAGGTCCGACCTTTGGAAGTCACAGCAGCGATTAGGTAACACGCAGGAAGGGCTCGGACTTAAATCTAAGGAGCATCACTGTGTATTTTCACAGCCACCTCGTGCATGCCCTCTATCTACTGAACTACTAAGGAGAAAAAAACAAATATAACAACACAGAATAGCTGCTCCTACAACGTGCGTGGATGTCGAGATGCAAATAGAACACACACACGCAAAAAGGATCTTTTAGACCCATCCACGTTCGCAGACTTGTACGCCGCTCTTCCCCGCAGGCAGAAGCACGGGCCTACGGGCCCAGCAGCAGCGATCCGGCAGCCCAAGGACAGCCATCAGCGGGGCCTCCGCCGCCGCTGCGATCCGGGACCTTCTCGCGTCCTTCGCCGGCAGCGCTGGAGGCGCGGCGCCGTTCGGGGAGCGGAAGGGGCCGCCAGCACCTCCCCCCGCCGTGCCCTTCCTCGTCCTCCAAGCGGCCGCCGGCCCGTTCCCGCCCGCGTCCCGCACACGCCGCTCCCCGCCCCGACGGGCACGGGCCCGCCGTAGCAGAGAGACGCGGGCCCGGCCGCGACTCGCCCTCCCGCTCTCACCTTCGGTAGCGGACGCGGCCGCCAGGCTCCTCCGCGTGGTGGGCGCCTCGGCCGGCTCCGCGCGCCTCCTCAGCCCGTCCTGGCACAGCTGGAAGTGCGGCGCGTAGAAGGGGTTGAGCCGCGCGAGCGGCGCGATGGACGAGAACATGGCGACCTGAGGCGGGCGAGAAGAACGCAATGGGGCGCGAGGCCTCACGGCAGGCGCGGCCCGGCGGCCCCGTACCCTGCGCCCGCTCGGCTGCCCAGGCGTGCAGCGGGCCTGCCGGCCGGGCGCCCCGACTCACCTCCTAAGATGGCGGCGGGCGCGCAGCGCTGCTCCGACCGCAGCTGTGCGCAGAGGCTGACCGCGGGCCCGGCGCGGTGACTTTGTCCTTCGCCGACGCAAGGGGCGGAGCCACGAGCCAAGAAGCCGCGAGGCGATTGGCGGAGGCGCCCCGCGAGCCGGTACCGCCGCGCATGCGCGGTCAACGCCAACGCCCTTCCTCCCCGCGGTGGGGGAGGGGGCGGCTGCCGCTGAGGGGAGGGCGGGGTTCCCCGCGTTCTACGTAACGCCGCGAGGATGCGTACCTCTCACTTGGAGGCGAGAAAAGGGCTGTGACGCCTGTGCGTGTGCCCGCGGCTCTGGAGAAGTTCCTCCCTGCGCTTCACGCTCTCCGGCTGCGGGCTCCTCCGCGTGCCTGCACTCAGCCCCAAGCGATGGCAACCGCAAGGCACGCCCAGCTCCGCTCGTGACAGGCAGCAGCAGCACCTGCGTGACCGCAGCCTGCAGGCTGGCGCTGGCCGGGGCTGGGCACTACTTGTTCCAGGCCAAACGCCAACGCTGCTCTTAATGGTGTGCTGGTTTCAGGAGAAGTTGGTATTGCTCTGAGTTCCGTCTCTTGTTAACTAGCATCACTACTCGCTCTTTGCCAAGAGGCTCCATTCCGCAGATGCTTTCAGCACAGCAGCTTTGACCTCCTTAGTAACAGACATACCAGACAGCAACACAGAAGGCATGTCCTATCTGTTAGTAAAGGGCTCAGAGCAGTACAACACACCTGTACAGCAATGCAGGAGAAATGTCTTCAGTCAACTGCAAGATCCTAGACATGGCACGACTCCTATTTCACATCAGCATTATCCAGACACTGTCATACACAGACAAGAATTACATGCCCGGCAGTACTGCCACAGAAGTCTAGGTGAGCTAAGTCCCTCTTGAGTAACCCATACTTCAGCTGAAACCGACATACTTTAAAGTTTCATTTTACAACCAGGGGAAGTAGTTCTCTAAATCAGCTCTGACAGCAATGAAGACAGACCAGAATTGTAAGTTTTGCTATTACTTCCACTCGCACCTAAACAATTGCTGGTAGCTGTATTTTATCTGAAAGCCAAACACTGACACTCATTTTTAATTAGCTAACAACCTCTAAACATGACAGAAACTTCAGCTGTTACCTTAAAATCACATATAAAGGATCACTATTCCTGCAAACTATTCTATTCTAGAGTATAGAAAAGCTGTTCCTCCCAATTACAAAGGATGAATATGTGACTATATTTATATGTGGTACCAATCTGCATGTATAACCAGTACTGATACTTGAAATTAGCCTGTAGAATGACCCATTATGTGGTTTTAGCTGACAGTTAACTTCTAACCTCTGCACTATTAACAGGTACTATTAAAAGGCAAAGAGTCATAGAACAAGTCGTAGAACCGTAGAACAGCCTGGGTTGAAAAGGACCACAATGATCATCTGGTTTCAACCCCCCTGCTATGTGCAGGGTCACCAACCACCAGATCAGGCTGCCCAGAGCCACATCCAGCCTGGCCTTGAATGCCTCCAGGGATGGGGCATCCACAACCTCCTTGGCAACCTGTTCCAGTGCATCACCACCCTCTGTGTGAAGAACTTCCTCCTAATATCTAACCTAAACCTCCCGTCTCAGTTTAAAACTATTCCCCCTTGCCCTATCACTCTCCACCCTCATAAGTAGCCATTCCTCCTTCTGTTTATACGCTTCCTTCAAGTACTGGAAGGCCACAAGGTTTCCCTGGTGCTGTCTCTTCTCCAAGCTAAACAAGCCCAGTTCCCTCAACCTTTCTTCATAGGAGAGGTGCTCCAGCCCTCTGATCATCTTAGTGGCCCTCCTCTGGACCCACTCCAAGAGCTTCACGTCCTTCCTGTACTGGAAGCCCCAGGCCTGGACACAGTACTCCAGATAGGGCCTCACAAGAACTGAGTAGAGCCTAACATCCTAGTGAAAGTACAGGAATAACACGTGTTTCTGCTGAATACCTTCCATTTTACGCAAAAAAAAATCTCTTCAACTTTTCCTAGACCCAAAAGAATAAAATAGCAAAAGCCTGCAATAAAAAGCATAGTCTTTGAAGACTACGCTTTGGTGTCTGCCTCTTTCAAATTCACAGTGAAAACAGCTATTGTAAATTAAATCCCTCTCTTTAAATCTGTATCTTTTCAAATTTTGGGTAGATAGGAGTACACCAGTTTGGCAACTGCAAAGCTTTCCTATCCATATTTCCCTGTTATTAACACTCACATTTTTTTTTTTCCTCCCCCTTTACAAGCGCTTTCCACAGACCTAACATTTTGGTGAAGCCCGTAAGGTCAAATCTCTTATGATAACTAAGACTATGCTGAAACACAAGTTCATAAACACAAGCTTTTAAAATTGAACATCACAACCTACCCTTTATCACAGTCAGGTGAAGCAAGCAAAAAAAAAAAAACACACACACAAACTCACAACGTATCCCACACAATTTTTCAACCTTTGTTTGCAGCATATGCATCTTTTCTGTTGAAATGGAGCTCCATGATAAAAGACATTATTTTTTGACTCCTCTGTTCTAAATCTGAAGATATCAATTTTATTTTTCTAAAGACATTCCATCCACAGAATCATCTGAGAAGTTAGTTGCACCAACTGAGGACTGTTGTTACCATGGAGACTTTTGTAGGTTGTGCCACAACAAAACCCATAGCATTCTGTCGTACAGTACATATACACTGCTAGCAAGTAAACTCTGGACAAAAAAAAAAAATACATTCCTTCACACCATTTCTTACTTCAGCACAATCTAGGTTTCAAAACACTCCCAGAATTCTAATTTAGATAGGAAACGCTCAAGGAGGATCTTTAATGTACTTTAATGTACTAAGTAAACTCCCCAAGCCTTACAATAGGTCAGGTGCCATAAAGTTAAGTTCCAATGCTGGCAATTTCACCTAGTGCTTCACAGCTTGAGAGCAGACACCTGAGACTCAATGCATGTTAACAGATAAGTTTTTTCCCATTAAACTGTGTGCTGAAGAAAAAGCTTAAGCAAGTACCAGTCCACAAAACTGCTCCTTTTTGTTATTTGTGCTGAAAGTTTAACCAAATTTTGTCTAAAAAACCCGAGGAATTTTGTTATTATTTTTTTAAAAGGAAAAGTACAAATTCAGTGCTTCACTACTTTCACATAAAGAAGAGAGCATCCTTCAGTGTAATTTACACAGTGGTATTCTGGATGCTTTAAGCACATTCAACTACTCAGCTACTTGTGCTATTACTACACGTGTTACCCATGCAATTATTTGACTGGCTCTAGAAGTGTTGGTAAAGCTCTCAGAACATTAAATGCCCCAAGAAGAAAGAGAACATTTTTTTTCTGTAAGATACGTCATCTCCCAACAACAAATGAACTGCATGCAGATTATGTGGAAAAATCTTTACCTTCCATGAAGTAACACCGAAGTTGAGAGGTATCTGTTGAAGAATCCCTCAAGTAGCATATAAATGAAAAAAATGATGGCATTTAATTGCATTGCAGGTTGTTGGGTTTTATTGTCATTTAAAAATAACAACAGCATCCCTGAATGTGGTTGAAAGTATTTCATATAGCTAGAAAAGACAGATTTCACATTAACATATAATGCACAGTAGGATGAAAAGTGAAAAGGAAATTCCTTGAGTACTGAAAAATAAATAACTTCCTCTGTTCAAATTAAAAAGATAATATATGCTAAAGAATAATGGTGCAAAATATTTAATGTAAGTATTATGCCTATTCTCCCTTACCACCTGTTGATAAGAACAGCTCTAGTTTTACTACCAGAACAATCCACTTCCATAAAGTGGAAATAACATAGCAGCACAAAACACAACCACTGATACAGAGATTGACTTTCTTTTGCTTTCTTCTTTCCAGCAATGCATTTATTTTGGTAAGGAAAATCCACACACATTAAAATCATTTTTATTTTTCCGCATTTTGACACCAAAAAAGTGAATGTCATGTGTTACAATTTTCTATAGGATGGACACAAGTTCAGCTACTTGGATTACTCAAAAAGCAGATAAAGGAAAAAAAAAGCATTAAATCTTAACAGAAGAAACCTATAGCTTTGCTACGAATTACCATCTTTGTCCCAAAGGTCACAGAAAGTAATGTTCTCCCATATCTAGTCTACGCAATAACTGTACCTATAGTAAAAATAGACCATTAACTAAAGTTCTCAGCTTTTCATAAGTAGCACTTCAAGAATAAGTATGATTTTATTGCATTTTTGTACGAAGCAATGAGACTGAACATCTGTATGCTGCAGATTTAAGCACATCAAAATGAATACATTCAATTTAAAAGTTGTTGCTTATCACTCCTCATTGGTAGTAGTGAAGTCAGCTGCCTGCTCAACTAAGTTATACAATATTGAGTGTTTTAGCATGCTTCCACTGAGAAAAATACTCAACTGCATGAATGTAGTAAGTCTCACCTCAGAAGATGAAATTGTAGAAGAAAATGCAGCAATGCCCTCTTCATATAAGAATAAAACTTCATATGGAATTTTCACACTTTGAGAATAACTCTCTACATGACTATTCAGAGATAATCACAAAGCTGTGACGGAAAGACCTTACATTAAGAAAAAAGACCACTGCTAAAAGTTGGAATTTAGACTACCTTAGATAACAACTTTTACCCCAAAAAAGTATTAAGTAGCAAATTATATTTGATGCAATTTTTATTTCCCACTCATACTACTAATAAATAAGTTCTTCTAAGACACCTGTTGCCAATTTATACTGAACTCCTACAACACTGTAAGCACTGAAATGAAGTGATACATTTAAATGTTACACTTAAACAGTTACTAATATGATACTAAGACTTTTACAGAAATGCAAACAAGTTTACAGTTACATTTACTAAAAAGTTACAGTAACTTACAGAAAAGCCTGTTGTTGTACTCTCCCTACACCCTAAGAGATCAAATTCAGTCAATTTGTTACTGAAAAATGCATACAAAAATGCATCTCCCTCATTCACTTGTTACAAATCTTCCTCCCTTTATAATCAAGATCTACCAAGACAAAAGTACAACTTCTTTCCTGTACAATGAAAAAGCTTTAAAAACACAGCTTCAC